AAATACTAGGACGGACAAATTCTCTATCAACCAACTTCTGGAGCTGAACTTTTAACTCCGCAAGTTCTTTTGGTGTCATCATTTACGGAGCTTTATATATCGGAGCCGTGCCCGGAAATACATCAATACAGAATTCAACATCTCTGTCTGGAGGTAAACCAACAAACTCCTCAGGAAATACATCTGAAAAGTCTCGTACACCTGGGATATCGAAAATAGAACCCGCATCTATATTCATATCCCATACTGATGCCAAAAACATCGTACAACCCTTCTTCCACATTTTTCTGACTTCCAACACAGAAATCAAACAAGACAAAACACCTCTTAGCCCTTGAAATACACACCTTTCACCATCCATGAACAAGCTAACTTGTTTCTTCAAACAATCAATTTGAGTCTCATACAAACGCAATCAATTCATACTCAAAATAACATCATACGAAGAAATCGGCAACAAAATCAAATAAGACTTCCACTTCTTGCCAGAAGTTTCAATCTCACATAAATAAAACTTCCGGGCTATCAAATTATTTTCAGCCGACAAAAGAACAGAAAGTGAAACAGGTAATGTAACGGAAGCCAGTTGCAAAGCATCAAGATAGCGCTCGGAAATAAACGTATGACTAGCTCCAGAATCAAACAAAACACGACAGGGATGTTCAGAAATGTAAACCGTACCTGTCACCACATCCGGAGCATCTCGAGCCTCTTGCTGATTCAAACTATACACACGTGGCTGAACTGGAGCTGGAGCTACATAACTACTAGGCGTCCTCTGATTACCACTAGGTGGTCTCCTTGCCATAGAACCCGAACCACCAGCTCTACCAGATGATCCTTCAGAAACAGTATGTGGAGGAATTATCCTCGGCCTTCCTGTCGGTCTAACAAAGCTCTCAGATCTGGACTCAGATCATCGATCAAATCCGGCTTGTGGACACTCTTCAATCCGATGTCCTGGCTGACCACATCTGAAACACTGACCAATCATCCTGTAACACTGGCCAAAATGTCGTCGTCCACAATTTTGGCACACCGGTGCCCCACTGACTGAACTAGAACTGGCCACTCTTCCACTATCAGAAACTGTAATAGATGCTGACTGTCCACTCCTCTTGGAGTCTTCAGATACAAATCTGTTTTTCTTCCCAGAAAAACTACTGCTAGATGTATCACCGCTGAATCTCTTCCTACTAGCTGTCTACCGCTACTGAGTAGCCATCATATCATTCTCTATCAATCGAGCTCTCTCCACAAACTCAGAGAAATCAGAAATGTGAAATGGTACTAGGGGTTGCCTCAGACTATCTCGTAATCCCCTTTGAAATATGTAGCACTTCTCCGCAGTCGTACTCACCAACTGTGGAGCATATCTGGCTAAAGCAGTAAACTCTGCCTCGTACTGCATAACTGTCTTGCTCCCCTTAACCAACCTCAGAAAATTCTCCTACATTTGTTGTCTTGCAGAAGGGGGTACAAACCAAGATCTGAATACTTTAGAAAATTCTTCCCATGTAATCAAGGAGTTCAGTTTACCTTGAAATTTCTCCTCCTGTTGGCCCATTCACCAGCGCTCCGCTTCAACATCCAACAGAAAAACTGTTAACGGTACGTTTCTATCAGGAGGACATTGCATACCGTCAAATATCTTTTTCAACCTCCTCAACCAATCCTCAGCTGCTCTGGGCTCAACAGTGCCCTCAAATCTCGGAGGCTTCAATCTCAGAAACATTTGTAGATGTCGATCTACATCTTCAGATCTAACAGCAGAAATTCTATTATGCGTTTCTCTCATCATCTGAGCAACCAACGTAGCAAACTGTGAAACTGTATCAGAACCAATTACTGGGGCAAAATTATTCACAGGAGCTGCCTGACTAGCATTCTGCCCATGAATCATATATGGGTCTGGCAGATCCATATCACACAGAATACAACTATGCACACAAAACAAAATAATAAAAACCCAGACAGACTGAAACTACCCCACCAAACTTACAGATCAATTCCTATAGCTCTGTCTTACAATCCCATATTCCAAAACTATGCTTTGATACCACTTTAATTGTCACGACCCAACCCGACCGGAACGAGTCCCATCGCGTCGAGTCGCCACGGATGAATCCAGGATCTAGCTTTGGAATTTGGTTTTAGACTTTCTTTCGAATCTTCATACAGAAAACACAGAGCTACCATAAACTTTCAATATACAGAAATTCATCTAACATTTCTTCTTCTCATTCTTCAAAATAATCATGTACATTACAGTGCATGGCTGTAACAGAAAGTACATAACAGAACAGAAAAGTCATGACTGTATAGAAATCAAAAGTACAAAAATATCTAATCAAAAGTACAAATAACTGATACAGAAGAACTGAATTCATTTCATATAGCAGAATTGGTCAAATCATAATTCAGATCGCATTTCAAATCACATATCACAGAATCGTACAAACCACAAAACACATTGTCAAAGCAGATAAGATTACATATCACATATCCCTGACACAGACAGAATCTCAATAGATTCTTGCCCCTTATGCCTCCCTTGTGCTTACAGCACCAGAATATATATCAGATATACAGAATTATCAGATCAGGATTTATTTTCAGATTCCCGGACCATGATAGAATCTTCAAAGGATTCTGGCCCCTTATGCCTCCCTTCCCTGAGACAGACAAAATCTCAAAGGATTCCAACCCCTTATAACTCCCTTCCGATATCATTCAAACACATCAAATCATCAAATTCAAAAAAATCGGATTACATTAGAAAAATCGTCAGCGGCATTACGTTAGTCCACAGAAATTTCAACATATCAAATCACAGTTTCAGAAAATTACCAAATTACCACAGATAGTGTAAAACATCATTTTAAGACTTTCATTGTACTGAAGCACTATTTTCCAACATCTAAATAATTTTCTATTCGATAAAAACTCCGCAGACTTCAAACTACCAGGTGAAAACTTTCCAGAAAATACTCAAAACGTGCAAAAACATCATCTCTACAACATACCAAAAGTTACGCTGTAAAAGTTTTACCAGTACGAAATTATACCAGATTTTCGCTAACGAAAAACGAATTTGAAACAGAAAATCCGTCAAAAATCACATTTTTGAAAATTGAGAAAGGCATAATGTGCCTTACCTCGAGTCGATCAACTTTCCCAACTACAGCGACAGACGAAAACGGACCAAAGTCGCCCAAAATTCGCTTTTTCTTCCTCTTCCTTCATTTTTCTCACTCCTGCCCCTTCTCTCTCTTAAAAAATGACACTATTCAGATATTTATCAAACAGGATCGTCCAGGATGATGCCCCGATCGTCCCGGGACGATCTCCTCTGGACTCCAATAGTCCAGACGAAAATTAATTATTTTTTCTGAACGATACTCTCTGGACAAAATTCGTCCCGAAGGTTCGTATAGACGAACCTGCAATTTACTCAGTTCGTACAGGTAGTTCGTCCGTACTAACCATACAGATTTTCTACATTTTCTTCAGTTCGTACTTCAGTTCGTACAGACGAAAATTAATTATTTTCTCTGGACGATGTGCTCTGGATAAAAATCGTACGAACGAACATACCTTCGTCATGGGACGAAGCTCTCTATCACCAAATTTTTAACCATTCGTCCCGGACGAACTCCACTTCGTCCGGACGAACCTGGAAGGAAAACAAAAGAAAAACTGTCTTTCACATTTTGGCCGGAGCATACGACCTGTTGTGGTTAAGAGATGGAAAAGGATGTCGGAGGTGAAGAGCGGGATCTGACCGGTGGTTGCTTGCTCGGCGGAAGGCATTGGACGCACATGTGGCGTCGGTTTCTGCGGGAATAAAGCACAGGTCGGCGTCGGAGTCGAGCGGCTAAGGTCTGACCTGTGGTCGCAAGAGATGATCACAAGGAGTGGATGGTTCTATGTGTGCGTCTCCGGTAAGCTTCCAATTTTTTTTTCTTCTTCTCTATGTGTGTATTCCTCCGAATGAGAGGATTTTAGGTGTTTTGTGCGTGAGGGAGCCGTTATGGGAGCAGTTTGAACAATCGTGGGTTAGGTCGTGGGTGATCGTGCCGATAATTATGCGGTTGGGTCTCTGATAGTTAGAGGTTAACATTTATTTGGCTAAAATATGGCTTTATTTATAGAATTTTACAATGGGTAGAAACATGAAGAAAAAAGTCACCTAAGTTAGAAAGGAAGGGAAATTGCTACAACAAAAAATTACATAAAAAAACTATTAAATCAGCATTATCCATAACCTCCATGTCACCAATCCGACGACTATAGCGCCAGGTCATCAATCTGAGTGCCAAGGATTGCAACACCGTTGTCGTCACAACTTTTTTGTCACCAGTGGCTATCTGCCATCAATATAATCCGATAAATTCCACCAGTCTATTCTTGGTATAGATAGTACGAAATGTTTCTTTCCTATTCAACATCTTTAACATAGTGTTGAGTAGCTGTTCCTGACAAATCCAGAGCAGGCAAAGCAGAAGCCACACGGGAGCCTTAGCAAAAGTCCATCAGAATAGGTTGCACAGTTACTAAAGAAGTAAGTTGCATAATGGAGGCTTTTACTATCTAGAAATATAGTAGGGCAGTTTATAATAAGTTTATTATCGACTAGATGAGGGATTTTAATTTTAGTTTTTGAAGATGACAAGACCATAATCTTGAAATGAATTGCATTTTTATTTTTGGATATTCCAAGAACAAAATTTTATCATGAGAATTAATACACTGGTTAGTTTTGATCATTTTCATAGTTCGTCGGGTATTTTTGCAGACCCGCATTTGGGCACCTTAGTTATATGCACATTTTGTAGAAATTGTGGATAATCATGTTCTTTGACTGTGTTATTTTCAAAAAATGAAGAAATTAAACTCTTTATAAGTAAAATATTATTTTTTGTTTGATTTATTGACATGTATAATGTATATTGGGATATATTGGTCAGCACTTCACAATATGACTTGATGAATTGCAGGATCTCATTGCAACAGGAGGAGTTGATACAAATGCAGTACTTTATGATCGGTCTTCAGGTCAGATCTTATGTACCCTCACCGGACACTCCAAAAAGGTTGTGACTTATTTTATTTCTTCATTATAATTATCTCTCTGTTCATATCACTAGTTATGCAATTGATATTTTTCTTATGATTATTTCAGGTAACAAGCGTGAAATTTGTGCCAAAGGATGAGCTTTTTGTGACTGCATCTGGAGACAAGGTATGTTTTCATGATATCTTTTAAACATGTATGATTGGTATTACCATTTTTGCTCATTGTTGTCTTCTTTTTTATATTTCTGGACCCATTATTTTATTATATTTAGTTAAATAAAATTAATATTATAATGACACATCATATATTTCTTGCTTGATATCTTGTTACAGGAGTGAGTTTTTTATGAGCTAATTTAAGTATGCATCATGATTTGTTGTTTTTTTTTCTCAACAACTTGGATAAAGAATCACATGGTCAACTTTTTGAGCTTCAATATGCCAAAGATCTCTTAAGATGTCATTTGGGGGCATAGTTTAGTTTTATGGACATATCAGTTGTGGTGGCCAAGAAAGCTGCTTTAATAAAAAATAAAAACCTACTTAAAAAAAATGAAAGATCTATTAAGATGTCATTGGGGTTATGGAGAGGAAATAAGAAATGTATTATTTTTTTAATAAATTTTTTAAAATTATATTTAAAAAAGTTTTTTTTCCTAAATATTTAAGGCACATGTTTTCGTGTCTATTTGTTTTAATATTTTTTTAATCGAACATATTAGCGTGTAGATGTGTGTTATATCTGATATATGTGTAGATGTGTGTTATATCTGATATATGGAGGCCACTTCATAACTTCATGGAATATTTTTTGTACACCGACACCTTAGAAAGTATATAGATATCTACATATTAAACATCACGTTCCATCTACACGACTTTTGATGCTCATCTTTGTTGTTCTTATTTGCCAAGGATACTGTTCGTTATCAAAATTTCTTCCCATTACCGAATCAACATAATCTCTTCCCATCACCAATCATCAAAATTTCTTCCCATTAGTGTAATTCTTATTCCTGTAGACATTTAAGCTCACCTGTTTTACGCATTCAAATGTTTTCCTTTCTGTAGCCATATATTACCAGCACACTATCCTATATTTTTTGAAAAATATTTCTGGTCATTTTTTATTTGCTACGAAGGTTTTTGTGTGGGCTATAGTAAGTTCCAGACTAATATTAGTCAAGTCTTATAAATACACTTTATTGCAGACTGTTCGTGTTTGGCAAGGGACTGATGATGGGAATTACAGTTGCAGACACATCCTGAAGGACCATACTGCTGATGTGAGTACATTTACTTGAATATTTTTGCTTTTTAAATTTTAGCTTGTTGATCACTATATTTTGTATTTTTACCTGATGGCCATGGAACTTGTCTTTTATTGATCAAATGAGGCTGATAATTTCTTTACACAGATGCTTGAAGTAAAGAGGATAGACAGTATTTTGGCATATTTTAGTCCTCCATAATATTTGCTTACCTTAATGTATCATTCAGCAAAATAAATATTTACCATGCATTTTAGTAACTGAATGACATGTGTGTGTACTTCGAACAACTAGAAACCTTTGATTTTTTCCATAACTCATACTACTGTTTCTTGACTTATTGAAGCAAAGTACATGGAACAAAGGCTTTTGTGTTCTGAAGAAAAATGATGTCAGTTCCTCAAGTATCAGATGTAAATGTTAGCTTAGCTTCTTCTAAAAGAAGACAAGTTAATGAAATATATAGGCATGAAAAATTGTATGAGATTGCATGAAAAAAATAATGGATATTACTAATATTTGACTGTAGTTTTTTTCTGAAACTGATTTTAACTGTATCTACTCTGAATGTCTGGCATCATCAGTCACACTTGCATTTGTTTTCTACCTCTTCAATTGGTCAACTATCTTGCTCCTTTGGCAGAAAAAAAAGGGTTATGTTTCTTCCAAATAGTTGTTTCATGTGTCCTCTGCAAGATAGTGATAGTAGGATTGTAAGCGAATAAGTACATTCGATGAAAAACCCGATACTTATGCTTGTTTATATTCATTTATTTATTTACATAATTGAATAAATTTGGACAAAATTTAAAAACTTGCCATGTAAATGAACAAGTTTGAGCACTTGCTTGTTTATTTATGTTCATAAATATACTTGTTTGTTGTTTAACAAGTAGTTTGCTAAGGATACAATAAAATGATCATTTAATGGTTGCTTATTTTTTTATTTGTAACTTATTCTTTGTTATTGTATGGTTGTATGTGTATCAAATTTTTTATAGCTTATTTTTTTTTTAAATTTATGTATACATGTTTAATGAAAATATCAAATAAATAGCTAGCTAGATAGATCTAAACATTTCTTATTATTATTTAAACATTACCAGAGAACTTAAATAACACCGAATGATTATGCTTAGTAATTATTCTATATGTTTAAATTATTAGTATCAAACATATAATTTGTTAGGCCTAATTAAAGCTTGATTCTAGCTTGACTTGATAACAAAATTAATAAACAAGCTTAGATAAGATTTTAAAAGTCATATTATGTTCAAACTCAATTCAAACTTGATAAAAAAAATAAATGAACGAACTTGAACAATATAGCACTTGGCTCAAATCTATGCACAAATTTACTTGTCTTTCTAATTACTAAATGATGCGTCATTTACTTTTCGAGACACCTTTGCTTGATATTTATTTCTGTATATTCCCATCTTATTTATCAGTTGCATTATTGTTCATTCTCTAAATAGGTCCAATCTGTGACGGTCCATGCCACTCATAAATACTGTGTTACAGCCTCCTTAGACAACACTTGGTGTTTCTATGATCTGGCCTCCGGAACTTGCTTAACTCAGGTCCTGATTACCCAGTTCTCATATCCTCCGTTCATATTTTTGCTGTTTGTTCCAAGGACTTACTGGTTAATGATATACACATGCAGGTTGGTGAACCCTCTGGACAGGAAGGCTATACTTCTGCTGCCTTCCATCCTGATGGACTTATCCTTGGAACTGGCACTTCTGAAGCCCTAGTTAGAATATGGGATGTGAAATCTCAGGTTCACAGATTTTTCTCAAGATTTATGTTGATGTAGATAATATTTTCTCCCATTGCTAATTAAACAATGTTGACAGTCAAATGTTGCCAAGTTTGATGGACATATGGGATCTGTAACAGCCATGTCATTTTCTGAAAATGGTTATTTTCTTGCGGTATGTGCTCCTTAATAATCGAGGCATCATTTTCATAACCAAAATTCTGTAACAATGCCTTGCACTGTACTTGAACCAGACTGCAGCCCTAGATGGTGTCAAGCTTTGGGATCTTAGGAAATTGAAAAATTTCAGATCATTTGCACCTTATGACTCTAACACTTCAACAAACGCTGGTATGACTTTTTATGATGGGTACATTTTAGTTTTTTGTATTAGTTGAATTTTTTTTTTTAAATCCTTATTGCCATGTTTGGCTTCTATTTTAGTTGGGTTTAAGTAGTAAATAAGTTTAGAGAGCATGTTTGTCTTTTCTATTATTTCCTTAAAAAAATTATCTTGCTTTTAATGCATGAAACACCCGTAGTGTTTTTACAAAACCGACTTTAATTAGTGTTAAAAAAAAACTGGTTAGTTACTAACATCTACTACTTAGTTCTATTTCTACTAATAAACTTCAAATAATATTCCTCATTTTTTACTGTGTTCAAAATACTGTTTTACAAAGCTGATTTTAACTAGTGTTAAACAACAACAAAGCAGTTACTAACATCAAGTACATAAATATTTTATCTTCTATTACTATTAACAAAACTACAAATAATATACACCATTCTTTAATGTTAATATATATATATATATATATAATTCAAATTAGAAGTGTGATATTTTTTAATATATTGCTTCTTAAATTGTCATTTATCAAGTGTTTCTGAAATAAATCTAAATCTTTGGCATGCAACCTCATGAAATTTGTTTTCTTTTGTTTCTGCATACCATACCTACTCGTTTATGAATAAACATAATCTAACGTGTGATACACATGGCCTTTTTTTATGTTGTTAAAGCTATCGATATTTGGTAGAATACCGAATTTTAGGTAGTATGCTCTTTTATTTTTTCTAAAATTTATATCTTGGTTGTTTTAATATGACCCCCTTGAAGGTCTCTCCGCTTTTGGTGAAATTTTTGTATTGATTACTTCTTAATAAAGAATTGAACTTGCTCTTTCTTTGTTGTTTGAAGGAATTTTTATTTCAGCTATTTAATTGTTTTCCCTGGCAGTTGAATTCGACTACAGTGGGAGTTATCTTGCTATTGCGGGTTCTGATGTAAGGTAGGCCATCGAATCTTTATGAAGAGAGAGAAAGAGTCCTTTAAATTTCTACATGCTCATTCAGATTCCACAAGATTATCTGCTTTGAATGAAACATTTTTTAATATTGTGATAAAACTGATTGATGTTTCAGGGTTTACCAAGTGGCAAATGTAAAATTGGAGTGGAATCTCATCAAATCTTTCCCTGATTTGTCAGGAACAGGTCACTTTTCTTCAACTTTTACTGCATCAAACATAAAATAATCTATCATTCCAATTACATAATTCCTAATTCTCTTCTTTTTATTTTTTGTTGATTTTCTACCATCTAATCAGGTAAAGTGACAAGCGTGAAGTTTGGAACGGATGCCAAGTACTTGGCCGTTGGCTCCATGGACAGAAACCTCAGGATCTTTGGCCTTCCAGAGGGCGAACTAGAAGAGCCTAGTAGGTCCATGGACGAGTAATCAATGATCTAAAATACATTCTGCAACCAAAATTCTGCAAAGTTCATCTTTAACAACAACATAAATGCAGATCCACAGGATTGAAGAGTTCATTATTAACACATCAATGGTCATTCTAATCCTGTTGGAATGTTCCTTATTGCCTCACAAGCAGCTCAAATGATGGTAGAAAATGCAATAACTTTTCCTTCTGTTAAGTTTGTGTATTATAGTTATGCAGTTTCACTTTACCTCTGACATCCTAATTTTGTTTTGAATTTTCATACATTTTTGATGTTTTATTGAGAGGTTAAGAAAGCTATTGAGCGATTAGAGTTTAATTTACTGTGTAATTTTGTGACAGTGCTTTGTTTTATACTTTTGGCTCAGAACAGTTTTTAGAACCATTTTTATATTTTTAGTTGTGAGAATAGAAATGCTAGATTGCTCAATTAACAATAATAGTTTATGAGAAGTTTGTGATAGTTTTACTAATATGTTTTTTGATGGATGTTAATATGAAAATACAGTTTGCTTGTGTTTGATCTATCAAATTGATACCAAGGTAATGAACATGCAGGCTTCGGTGCTTAAAATATTTTTTTAGTTTAAAAATTAAAATTTTTATATTAGAAATCTGCTTTAAGAAATAGTGAGAAAGCTGTCCAAAATGAAACCTTCGTATGTGATAGTTTTCTTATTGTTTTTTAAAATGGTTTTTTAATATAAAATTTTTAAAACTTTTAATACTAAATTATTTTTTTAGAAATCAGCCAGAAAGTTGCTTAAATGAATTTTAAATTTTAAATCAAATAAATGCAAAATTTTAATAAATAAATATTAAACAAACCAAAAGCAAAAATGAAAATAAATTAAAATTCAATAAATATAATCTTAGTAAAAAATTAAAATTTATAAAAACAAAAAAACCCCAAAGCAAAAAAAGAAAGTTAATTAATCTTTTATTTTTATTTATATGTTGCCATTATTTCTAATTAAATTAAAATTAAAAATAAAGTCATTCCAAACGAAATCTTTGTTTGAGACTTTTTTTTTTATTGTTTTTCAAAACAGTTTTTTAATATATAATTTGTAGAAATTTTTATATAAAGATTGTTTTAAAAATCAGCCAGAAAGTTGCTTTAATGAATATTTCCTATTTGGGTCTACCTATCTCTTTAGGCAGACTCAAGGTTTCTGGCTTCTCCACTCTGATCGAAAAAGTTACTAACATGCTTTCTGGTTGGAAAGCGAAACTTCTCTTTTTTGCAGGTAGGTTGCAGTTCTTAAAATACACTATTTCCAATTTGGTGGCGTACTGGATTCGGGGCTCTAATATTCCTAAAACAGTGTTGAAAATCATAAGCAAAGCTTGCTCCAAGTTTTTATATCATGGGAATTTTCAGTCAAAAAAGATGCATCTTATATCTTGGAGCTCTACTACTAAACCTATCTCTATGGGGGGTTTAGGAATTGCCTCTTTCCAAGCTCTTAGATTTGCCTTTAACTGTAAATCTATTCTTAGACTTTATAACTTTAAGTCTCCTCTGTCTAGCTGGATGTTAACTAGATATAGTTCTCCCTGGAAACCCTGCCCCCCTTCCCTCAGTTCGGGTTTTTGGAAGAGTATTTGTAGCACTGCAGACAAGTTTAAAAGTAATTTCTGTTTTCAGGTTGGACTGAACAGCCCTATTGACTGTTTTTGGGATAATTGGGTCCTAAATGACAGCATTTCTTCTATGTTAACTGGGCAAGCTTCTTCTTCTGTTATTGGGTCTAACGATAAACTTGCCAACTGGGTAACTGATGGTGTTTGGTCTATTCCCACCTCGCTTAACACTTCTCTCAAAAATCTCATTTACATTGTACCTATTTCCCACATCAGCCATTATCACATTACATGGGAAAACAATGAGAATGCAACTTTTAAAGATTTTTACAAGGAGTATTTTTCTGATTTGGATGTGGATGTGGACTGGTATAATTTAGTGTGGCATAAAAGACACTCCATTAGGTACTCCTCTCGTTCTTGGATTGCTATTAACAATGGGCTTAAAACTGCTGCGGCATTGTTGTATAGGAATATGAAAATTGATGACACCTCTTGCCCTCTTTGCCACAGTCATTTGGAGAAAACTTCACACCTCTTGTTTGAGTGTGACTACTCTTTTCAGCTTCTGACATTGATTATTCCACAGTTCAAAAATTTCTACCTGAGGCCCAACATTATTCAAGCTCTTCATTTTATTTCTGGGCTTTATAGCGATTCTGATACTACAAATGCTACCCTTCTCATTCTTCATGCTGCTGTTTATTATCTCTGGAATGAACGTAATTCTAGGAAGTTTAATGGTAATGCTTCGTGTGTTACTTCTTTAAAGAGGAAAGTTATTCGGGCAGTTTTTTTAAAGCTGAATACCTAGAAAAAGGAAGTTATTTAAAGCAAAAATTGCTATTATGCTACTAATGGGCCTACGTTCTATCGTGTATTCAAAATCCTACTTGGTTGATGCTTCTCTGATTGATTATATGAAAGAAACACACTGGATCATCTATCTATTGGGGGTTGGATTTCTGTTAAGTCTCAATAATATTACTTCTATCCAACATTGGCTGGTGAACTTTTGTTGGTTGGCTTGCTGTATGAAATTTATTCCTCAATTCTGTGGGATAATGTGGAGGCTCTATTTATTTCCCATTATTTTGGCTGGGAGCAATTTTTGGAGTTTTGGCCAGAGTATTGAACACGCAGCTGATGACTTTGCTTCATTGATTTTTGAGGCGCCTGTAAATTTTGACTTCACTACAGGTTGCCTTGGGGGTTTTTTTGATAGGATGATGATGTTTGCTAAGAATTTAGCAACCCCTTGGACGGTCTTTCGGCAACCAGGGGTTTTCTGTTCTGCACAGACCCGCTCGAGAAAGACCCATTTCGTGAATTGGCAGAACAGTCTGAGTCCTTTTGGCTTTTGAGCCTTTCTGCTTTTTGGGTTTTTTTTTTTAATTATTGTTATGTCTTTTTCTTACTTTATGAATTCCATTTCTCCTGTATTGAGATTTGGAATTATAGTTCCTGTTTTTTACCTTATCTGTAATCTTTTTTGATATATGGATGGGCTTTGCCCCAAAATTTCCCAAAAAAAAAAAAAAAAAAATTTAAATCAAATAAATGCAAAAAATTAATACATAAATATTAAACAAACCAAAAGCAAAAAAGAAAATAAATTAAAATTCAATAAATATAATCTTAGTAAAAAAAAAAAACAAAGCAAAAAAAAGAAGTTAATTTACCTTTTTATTTTTTTTTTTTATTTTTATGTTGCCATTATTTCTAATTAAATTACTCTATTAGTATTTCTCTTGAAAATTAACCGTTATATATCTAATTCAAAAATTGCTTTGTGCATGCATCACTTATATCCCAACGGTCACCCACCACACAAAATTTAAAATTGATGTGAACGTTTGTTGGTTTGATGGACCAATTTATATTTTAATATTTTTATTAACCGACAGGAAAGTTGCTATTGTCTATATCATGTAGAGGAAAATAATGGCTACCTCTACCTCTCCAAGTCAATATCATGATGAATGCTCTTGTATTATGGTTTGCTTTTCTTCAATTGGAGTATTTATTTGGTAGAGATATTATGCTATCCCATTCACAATTTAAAAGAAGCTTTGATATGTTGTATTATCTCTAATGAGTATTATGTTTTCCACAAAGATCATGAATTTTTTTTTTCCTAATTTTTCGTCTTATTCCACGCATCCTACTTATGGCGCTTTTAGGCTTGACTTTGGACAGCTTTCTTATTGCTTTCTAAAACAACTTTTTAGTACAAAATTAATTTTTATACTAAAAAACTGTTTTAGAAAGAAACAAAAACAAAACCTTAGTCTCCGCAGTCGCTTGAGATTGCTTGGCAGAGTGAAGTGCACCAAAGCCTATGAACATGCCATCTTTAGCCCTAGAGGGAAAGGAGGTTGAGGAGATGGAGACTATTAAAGACTTCAAATCTTATGATAAAAAAAGTTGGTGTAATCTTGTGGAAGGATTCTTATTTTATTCTCTATATAGATAACTTAAGTATCCAATATTGATTATCATTGAAGGATTGATGAGGTTTTGCTTGTGAGTAATTATGATGCCACAAGATCTAAATGTGAAAGAATTTTATTTTATTTTCTTTTAATTAATCTATCAGAGTATCTAACAATTCACTATCATAAATAATTCCAGTGAAAATAACAATAAATCATATGCATCAAGTTATATAAATCAATTTACAATTCTATATTCATTTCCAAAAATTCTTGTACAATAACTAGAAGTTTAATCTATTGCATTAATTTATCATTAAAATATCCCGGTTACAAAAAGTATGTAAATTAGAGAGTGAGCTAACAATTTAGTAGGTTACTAAAACCTACAATTACAATCAATGCAAAGTAATAGAAAAAAGGATGTATGTAGTCATTCATTCTAGATCAATATATACATTTGACAATAAGAATATGTAACATTCAATATGAACAATATCATTTCATATGAGCAATGAGAATCAATATAAAAAATGCAATTTAGAATTAGTGATCAATAGTTATATAAAAAATTAATATGTTCCGTCATTCCTTTACGCATGCCAAATGAAACGCAACAGGTTTATTTTGAATCCATACATGATCATTATTTATCTTTTATTTTTATTTGTATATCATATCATGTATATCATTATGCATGTCATATCAAGCAAGTGTTATTCATATCAAATAATATCATTACTTGTATATCATGATCTATATAAGTACAATGTATAATGTATATCATATATATCAAATATTTCTTATGTAATATATGTTCTAATATCAGTTTTATTATATGCTTGTATGAGTCATGTCCTATATCATATTCACATCATCTTATATCATTTATGAAATTATCATGTTATGCCTTATTATATCAATATGCAATCCTAACATATATGTAAATCATATTATAAGCAAAGCATGACATTTGGCTACTTATGATATTTTCCTTGTATTAAGTCATGCAAGCTCTTCCGACCAAATAGGAATTAGTCTCAATCATACCAATCTCGTAAATATGGATCCATCTCATATCATAAGTCAAGCGGCTTTCATGTAAGAAGTTGTCACTTTTTGCTCGTTAACACATCATATCATATCAATCAATCTCCTTATATGTTTCATTTCATATCACTTAGAATTATATCATAAATCTTATTTAAATGAAAGCTCGTCAACACACACTCTTGTATAGGGCAACATGTCATCAACCAACCCAAATCAATTCATTGCTTGTTTCATCCTCAATTTTTTATCTAAAAAATAGATATCTACTCTTAGGACATATTTGAGTACGAATTTGACCATCTATGGAAAGATATTTCAAGCAATCATCAAATTCAAAAGCATCAAATATTATAGATGAGAATAACAATAAGGATGTAGAGGTAAATAAAAAATGCACTCAAGTGGATATAGATTTACCAAAAAATTAGAATTAAATGTGGAAAATCACGCATTAAATAATAATTGATTTCTTTTAACTACCTATGCCAGTCTTAAGCACGGCTGAAAAGGGTTGAGAAAAATTTTAAAATAATTAATTTAGGCCCCCTCAATAATTTTTTTGGCTCCGCTACTGCTTTCAAGCCAGCCTTTTTTATTTTTACACACATTCAATATCATGTATATAAAAATAGCATACATCATATACACACATTATATAATTTTTATAGCATGTAAATCTATCAAATCTATCCATATGCAGTATATTGAATCCTAGTCATTTTGTACCAAGTATTATGCTACTCATTTCAAGTAGAAATAATATACATGCTTAACAGAGAACAGAGTGTCGTTGCGCTCGCTAGCGCAGCGCTATAGATAAATTTGTTTCTTCATATTTTAAAATTAATTTATTTTAAAATTTTGGATTATTAGAACCTCCCCTTTATTGAAACCTAATAGTTGATCAAAGAGCTTGGTATTTTGGTATTTATTATCTATTTTAATTTGATAGGGAGGCTTATGCAACAAGCCATAATCTTGTTGGCTAATAGATTTGATGGAGGATGGTCATTTGTCATTGCTATCAAGTGAAAATTTTTGTAGGATGTTAGGTTGAATTAGAGGAATATTGTATGGTGGGGACCAAATCATATTGAAAAATACTCCTAAAAAGTTATTTAGGTGCTTTCCTTTTCAAAAATTTGCCAATTCCAACTAAAAAAAAAGGACTTGTCATGTCTAATCATGTAAATGGAGCCATGTGAATAAAAATATCAATTTTCCCAAAAATAAAATAAAAATCTCAACATCTTTAATAGGTTGTCAAGTATTGCTTTCTATGTCCATAGGAGAAGGAAGGGTTAGGGTTTCCTTAACACTTAGAAGGAAAAAAAAGGGATTATTTTTTGTTAGTTTATTATAATTAAAAAATTAAGTTTTTTATTGTTAGAATTAAAATTTTGTTTTAATACCTAGCTTTTTTTTCATTTTTATAATGCTACCTTTACTTTTAAATATATATATTTTTAATTTCAATATCTACCTTTTTTTTAGATATTTAAATTAGATAAAAATATTCAACAAATTTTTATTAGGATAAAATTTAATTATAATACTTATTTTTATTAAGTTTTTATTAAATTTTCTCATTTTATTTAATTTAACTTTCGTAACTTTGGTAATTCAATCACTTTTGTCCCATAATTGTTAGGTAAAATTTCATAATCAAGTGACAATATAGTAGAATGATTGTTGCTCATATTATTTAATAATTTAGTTGAATTTAAATATTATATTTAATTAAATTCAAAATTTATTAAAGTTTATCACTTACACAATTTAATGAAATTAAATTTGAATAAAATTTAAAAAAAAACAAACAATTTACTAAATATAATAAAATTTGATATGTCATAAAAAATTATCTTGATCGGGCATGAATCTTGGCGCAAAAATCAAGTTGGAAACTTCAAAAATTAAATCCGAGAGCACCTAAATTCCAATTCCAGCGAGCTTATAGTCAAACTGAGCGTCTCGAAAATACGAACCCAACGACATCAAATTCAACTCAATCCGAGCCCAAATCAAGCGCCCGAAGAGCTATTGGAAAGCTCATACCACAATTTGAGTTTCCAAACGGTCTTCGATTTTAATGAGCTTATAGTCGAATCGAGCGGCTCGACGAGACGAATCCAATGAGCCCAAGATCGCCAAATTCTGACATCACTAAGGCCTTAAAATAGCTGACGAATGGTGTATGATCAAGGGATTCAATATCAGCCGTCCATTCAACCACTCCCTGTTAGCCCCTGATCTCACACCTATTTACAAGCCATGCCACTCCAAAAAAACTATAAATAGACCCCTCATTTCTCATAAGGGGGGACCCAAGCAAGAGAGAGAAAAAGAGAAGAAAAGACGAATAGAAGAAGGAGGAGAATCAGCTCGTCCTCGACCACCGCCGGAGTTCTTCCCGCCGCCTGAATATGCCGAAATTCTGCAGTATATTCGGGAGACGCTGGAATTCTGCATAATTTTGTAACTGAATTTCAATTCATAAGAAACTCTTTGTAATCTGATCGTCCCAACTTGTGGGACGAATTAGCCTCTATACTTCAAACAAACACTAGTGGAATTACTTCAACTGGGCGTGGCCCCGTGATTTTTTCCCTCTTTCGGGTTTTCCACGTAAAAATCCTGGTGTTTATTTTCATTTTCTATTTGTGAGCTGAATATTTGTACAATGCTCGAACGTAAAATTACAAACTCTACCGCCACGTATATTCTAGCCCGCAATAGTTTGGCGCCGTCTGTGGGAACTACTATCCCACAACTTCAAGTATTACTACAATGGTCAACAGACATAGCAGTCGCATCGTTGGAGCTTCCCACTCCAACTCCCACCAATCCAAAAATCAGTCAGTGAATCACAGACGCCTGATGTCTACCTCTTTTAATCCTGGGTGAAAAAATGCTGCCGGAGAAGGAACCTTGGGACCTTCTTTAGAAGAAAGAACCCGGAAGATGAAAGAATCTCATAATGAAATTCTTCAACTCCTGCGAGAGACTCGACAACTGACACTACAACAAAAAGAGGAAGTGCTTCTCCCTCGAGATCCACCATGGGTTGAAGATGTTCAATTCGAGCATTTTCAAGCAAAAATTCCTCTTCCTCCCCCAAGAAGGCAGATACATCAGAACAACGAACTCGCTGATACAGCAAGTTCTACACATCCTTCACCCTCAACTCGGCAGCCTCGAGTTCTTTCAGATCTCCCAGAAGACTCAACCCAATCACACATTGCTGAGCTCCCTCACAATGTTATACGTCATGAACTACAAAGATTGGTACGGGAAGAGTTCCCCCGAGGAGATGTGAGGCAAGCTCTCCGACGGAGAAACTTCTAAGAGTCATCACCTCTAACTGAAGCCATTCTTCAGCACCCCATTCCGATTATATTCAAAGTACCAAACATTGAGTCCTACGATAGGACGACCGACCCGTATGAGCATATCGACTACTATAGAACCATCATGCATATTCAACAAGCATCAGACGCACTCCTTTGCCAGGTTTTTTGTGAGATCTCGTTCCCTTACTGTTTCTCTATGAATTGGATTTTCCTCCCAGGATCGTCCAGGATGATGTTGAGATCGTCCAGACCGATCAGTGCATTGAAAATAGCTGATTTCTGGAGTGTTTCTGGAATGATTTATGGACTGGATCGTCCAGGACGATGTTGGATCGTCCTGGGACGATTAGTGTATGGCAAAATCCCGAGAGCAAGGGGTTTTGGAAAATTAATTATCGTCCTGGAAAATCGTCCAGTACGATTGGAAATTGGTCATATCGTCCTGGACGATGTCGCGATCGGCCAAGACGATCAGACTAATGTTATAAGGAAATCAGCTCGTTTTGAGGAGAGAGAAAATCATTTTATAAAATCAGAAATATCTGAGGAGAGAGAAAGAGAAGAAAAGTAAATGAAATCTTGTATTTCGGAGGCCGCGGAGCGCTTTTCGTCTGACGCCGCTGTTGAAGAAAGTGTAGATCTCGTGGTAAGGACTCCGAATCCTATTTCTGTTTTCAAAGATATTGACTTTTGATCGAGATGTGCACTGTTTTGTGTTTTCGTAGTCGAATTTTGGACCTGATTTGGTATTGACACAACTTTCACCGCACAACTTTTAGAATGTTATAGATATGAATATTGTACATGATTTGAGTATATTCTGCGATGATTTTACCGGTCGGAATTGATTCTACGCGATTTTAATTGAATAGAAAAATATCAGGATGTTATTTGATATGGATTCAGTAGAACAATAGTCTTATATTGTTTTCGTGAACATTCTATTGTAATTTGGTGAATTGTGATTTTAAATATTTTTTAAACAATGGAATTAATGTATTTAAAATTCGAATAAATTAGACTTTGTCGCTTTGGGCTCTTGTAGACAATGTCATTTAAATTAAATTTATTTTAAAAAAATTAAAGGTTAATAAAAAATTAAATATAAAATTTATTTAAGTTAAATTTATGTAAATTTAATTTTTTGAAAATTCGGCTATTCTTGAATTTAATTTTATAAAATAATATTTTATTTATTAATTTATTTTTACTTCACTGTCTCCCTCGGTCACTCTCACAATTCACTCCTGAAAATTGATAGTGTGCATTTTCTTCTATAAATACAGAGATTTTGCAGGTAAATTAACGATCATCTTCTTAACTTGAGCACAGCAAACTTCCTTGAAGCTTGCGCCCATGGATATAGTTCTCCCATCGTACGCAGAGCTCCTCCTCCCCACCATCCTCTGCTTCATCTTCCTGCTCTACCTCCACGGCCGCCGGACCCCTCCAGGCAAACTCACCAACTGGCCCATCGTCGGCATGCTACCGGGTCTTGCCGTCAACCTCCACCGCCTCCACGACTTCGCCACCGACATCCTCGGCCCCTCCGGCTGCACCTTCCTTTTCCTCGGCCCCTGGTTCTCCGGCATGAAGTTGCTCGTCACGTGCGACCCCGCCAACATCAACCACATCTTCAACGTCAACTTCCACAACTACCCCAAAGGCCCCGAATTCTCGGAGAACTTCGATATCTTCGGCGACGGCATCTTCAACGCCGACCACGAGTCGTGGAGTAGGCAGCGCAAGAAGGCTCAGCTCCTCATAACACAACCCCGCTTTCTCGCCTTTGTCACACTCTGCAGCCGCGACAAAGTTGACAACTTTCTTCTTCCCCTGCTCCGGCAACTCAGCGAGCAAAACAAGATTGTTGACCTCCAAGATGTGTTTTTGAGATTTTCATTCGACATCACCTGTATGCTTGTGTTTGGCATCGACCCCGCCTCCCTCTCCCCGGATTTCACCACCGTGCCATTCGCCAAGGCAATCGACGAGGCCATGGCCGCAATCTTGCACCGCCACGCAGTTCCGCCTCCATGGTGGAAGCTCATGAGGCGTCTCAAATTGGGGAGGGAAAAGAAGCTCGCTGATGCGTGGTGTGTCATTAACGATTTTATAGCAGAGAGCATAAAGAAGAGGAAGCAGGATAGTAACCTCGCCGTCGCCGACTCTTTAAATGACAGTCTCCTTACGGCCTACATCAACGATGACTCCGCGGCCGACGACAGTTTCCTAAGGGACACGACGTTGAGCCTCATGATCGCCGGAAGGGACACAATCGGAGTGGCTCTCGCGTGGTTCTTCTACCTCCTTTGCAAGAATCCAGACAAGGAGGCGAAGTTGGTGGAGGAACTGAGACACGGCGGCTCCGAAGAGCCGGTGTACCTGCAGGCGGCGCTTTGCGAGGCTCTGCGTCTGTACCCACCGGTGCCGTTCGAATCGAAAGGGGTGGTGGAGGCGGAGAGTCTGCCGAGCGGGCAGAGGGTGGAACCGGGGACTCAGATTCTGTTCTCTATATACACCATGGCGAGGATGGAGGGGGTATGGGGGAAGGATTGCTCAGAGTTCAGACCGGAGCGGTGGATAACGGAGCAGGGGAGGGTGCGGCACGAGCCAGCCTATAAGTTCATGTCGTTTAACTGTGGCCCGAGGACATGTTTGGGGAAAGGCCTCGCCTTTGTGGAGCTAAGGGAGGTGGTGATGGCGGTTGCGAGGGAGTTCAGGATGGAGATTGTGGAGGGCCATGTGGTGGAGCCGAAGTTGTCGATCATCCTGCAAATGAGGAATGGGCTCAAGGTGAGAGTGATGAGGAGGGAACCATAGGGTTAATTTGTTACTGTGCTTGCTACTATGAAAAGCACGTCAGTCGACATGAATAAGATGGGAAGACATTTTACTATAGTAACAGAGTGTTGTTCTATTTGTGCATGTGAAATTAATACTTCCATAAGCATTTTTACATTCAATAGTTGTAGATTTTATTCCTCCTAAGGCATTAGCCAATTCCTAGGACCACTTTTCTACTTGGTATGCACCTTAGGGCATCTCCAACAAAGAACTCCATTTTTCACGTCAAAATACCGCAAAACGCAAAAATGGCGTAGTGCTGCTCCAATCGAACTCCATTTTTTTGCTTCTGCGCGAAGGTAACGATCCTTCTCCTTTGGTGCGTTTTTCCGGTTGAGAGAGGAAAATAGCGTGGGTGAATAATGCAACGCCAATATTGGCATTGCACTGTTCACCCGCAAGCAAATGACGGACGTTTTGGCGTTCGGCTGGAGCGACCGAACGACGCCAAACACTCGTTTGGCGTTCGGTTGGAGATGGTATTAGTCCTATTCAAATATCTCTACGGAGAAACTATTATGGCTTGGTTTGGGACGGTTTTTTATTGTTTCTTAAAGTAGTTTTTTAGTACAAATATTAAAATTTTGTATTAGAAAGCTGTTTTAAGAAGCAGTAAGAATGTCGTCCCAAAGGAACAATTGTCAAGAATTTTCATGGTCACATCTCATTTTAGGGTGGGAGTGAGTCAAGTCGACTTGTGATTCCATTTAGACTCAACTTGATAAATGATTTGTTAGCCTAATGAGTTGAACTTGAGGTAGCTTGACTTGACTTGTTAGCTCGTGATCAAGCTAGTTGAAAAATATATTAATATAAAATACATTTAAAAATATTAGCATTTAGAATTTCAAGTAAAAAAATGTTATAAAAATGTATCTTACTTTCTTATGTTAAGTGAATCTTTATTTCTTTTTTCTTTTAATATTTTTTTTTATCATTTTATTATTATAATTACTTGAATCATAATCATTTTTCCTTTCAAAATAAACGGAGCCGGCTTGAACTCACAAAATAAAGCGAGTTTGAGCTCGAACATGATTAAATAATCAAGCTCAAGCTCCAGTCAGACTAGTTTACACACCACTCTCGTATACCATCAGACCATCCATCACTCATCATCTGTTGTTGCTGCATGATCATCTCTAACCCGAGCTCGAGCCATCAAAATTATGATAATTTAATGGATTGAGCTAATTTATTGACATATTAAAGCTTCATTTAGGACAACTTTCTTTATGCTTCTTAAATCAGCTTTCAATTTTTGCACTAATTTTTGTATTAAGAAACAGTATTAGGAAAGAGATCCCAAATGAAGGCTGAATTCAAACGAGAAGACAAAGCATTAACGCATTTAATCAAAGCATTAAATATTTATAGCACTTGGGTGTTCATGTACCAGCTGACGAATCCATTAAATGAAGAAGTAGCTTATCTTGTTCAACTTCTTTTATTCAAAGACGTGCAACATAAATAATCACTACCAAACAAGGCCAAGCAACCTCAAGACACAGTATTCTATGGCCTGCAGACTGCGCAGTAGCAGATCAAATTATGCTTATAAATATCATTTGGCAAACAAAATAGTTAGAAATTTTGGGATATTAATTGAGGTTAAATAAGGCTAGTAATATACTTAAAGGTTGAATAAATGGAACTTTTATTAGGTCCGGTGTAAGGACGTAGAGGAACGTCTGGTCGGAGATAAAATCCCGCCAAAAAACTCGGTATTTGCTCGGTATTACTAGGTATTATTTGATAATAATGATGAATACCGCTCTGTGAAGATCAATACTGAGTTATACCGAGCTATACCGAGCAATACCGAGTTGTACCGAGTTTTTTCTAGGAAAAACTCGGTACAACTTTTGTATCACTAGTATTGGGTCTTCACGTGATGGTATTCCTCGTTATTGTTTGGTATTGCTCGGTATTTGCTTGGTATTCTCGTTTTTTGGCGCGATTTGGCCTCCGACCGGACGTTCCTCTACGTTCGGTCGGAGGACGCAATAATTGTTCGAATAAATGATCAAAGATTAAATAATTAAATATGAGTTGTATGATAGAGCATTATAAAAATTTGATTAAATTTATTAAAATATCACTCTCAAAATATTATAAATAGAAACTCGTTCTCCACATGTGAAGGATATGAACTTATGTTTGGAGAGAGTGTGAATATTTGAAATTTTTTAGCTAACATTCGACGTTGAAGATCATCACTGTTAACCATTGATGTCACTTGACTATCGTCATCCTACCGTTACCGTCAAATTCAATCACTATCAGTTTCTGACCACCACCATTTGAGTGTCGATTATCTGACTATCATCGTTCAAGCATCATCACATGATTTTGATTAGTCGATCATTGCCATCTGATTGCCATAATTACCCTACTAACACTATCATAAATAAATACAAAATTATTATGATAATAATAGATTAGCTATGTTTGGATGTATAAGTATAATATGCATGTAAGTGGACGTTTTCGCATTGGAATATAATGATTTGTATATAGATTTTTCTAAACTCTAAGGCATAGTGAGAATCATTGAACTGTTTTTTATTAATTATATTATCATTTGTATATTATTTATAAGATATAGTATCTATTAATCATATTTGTGTATTATTTTTAATTATTTATACATTCTTATTATTAAGATTTCAAATGGAACTGATCAAGTTGGAACAAATTTTTTCAGTAGTCTAAGGATAAGAAATAGGGAGCAGTAGATTCTGAGAAGCACAAAAATTCTTCACATATTATGCTATATATATCAAATTTTAAAGTTTTAAAAATATAATTTTGCTTTTTGAGTTGTTCATTCATTAGAAATTGTAAGCTTAACATTTCATCATCATAAGATTGAGAAAATATTGTCCAGAAGGTAAGAACTTCGGGACACACCACACGCGGCGCCGCGGCGGACTCGACTGCGGGACGCGGGTCCGCGGAACCGCGTCTGCGGCTGGATTGCGTCACACGACTGGGCAGAACCGCAGAATGACGCGGGCAGCTGGGTCATTTCTGTGTTTCCGGGTCAACCCGAACCTGACCCGTTTTTTGAAACGGGTCGAAAACCTGAACCCGAACCCGACCCGCTTCGGGTTCGGGTCAACATGAACCCGAAATTTTTGGGTGGAGTTCAGATCGGATCCAATATTGACACCCTAACTGTCGTTACGAAAATTTCAGATTGAGTTATTTTTTCAGGAGCGAATGGTTTAAATATACATGAGAAACGATCCTAATCAAAGTGATGTTGAATTGGAATGAAAGAGCCAAACTAAAAATAGAATGTCACAATGTTCAAAGTATGTAAAGTAAATAATGAAGTGAAATTAAACTAATAATGCTTACATTAATATTTATGAGGGTCTTCTATCTAAATATTAAACTAACTCAAATGGGTGACATAGCTCATCTTGAACAGGACTAGTTTAAATAATTTTTATTATCAATTTATCATCATCTTTGGTAGCCAATATTAATAAATTATTTACATTATAAATTACTATATTTCCAATAAATGGTAAAGATAAATGGTCATGCACAATTCCACATAGCCATTAGATCATCTCCAACGGAAAATCACATTTTTCATTCTAAAATGCCGTGAAACTTAAAAATGTCGTGATTCTATCTCCAATTGAACTCCATTTTGGGAAAGGTAACGATCTTTCTCTTCTTTCGCGCGTTTCTTTACAAGTTCGGAAGAGTCACAAAAATAGCGATGATGAACTGCAACGCCAATATTGACGTCCCACTGTTCACCCGCAAAGAAATAGCGAAAGTTTTACCGTTCAGCTGGAGGTCCACGGCGATGATATTCAAGCGTTTGAAGTTTCGTTGGAGATGCTCTTAGGAGGCTTTTCTTATAAAATTATTTTACGGTTCCCTCCTCATCACTCTCACCTTGAGCCCATTCCTCATTTGCAGGATGATCGATAACTTCGGCTCCACCACATGGCCCTCCACAATCTCCAGCCTGAACTCCCTCACAACAGCCATGGCCACCTCCCTCAGCTCCGCAAAGGTGATGCCTTTCCCCAAACATGTTCTCGGGCCACAGTTAAACGGCATAAACTTATAAGCTGGCTCGTGCCGCACCCTCCCCTGCTCCGTTATCCACCGCTCCGGCCTGAACTCCGAGCAATCCTTCCCCCATACCTCCTCCATCCTCGCCATAGTGTATATAGAAACCAACACCTGCGTCCCCGGCTCCACCCTCTGCCCGCTCGGCAGATACTCCGCCTCCGCCACCCCCTTCGCTTCGAACGGCACTGGTGGGTACAGTCGCAGAGCCTCGCAAAGCGCCGCCTGCAGGTACACCGGCTCTTCGGCGCCGTGTCTTAGTTCCTCGACCAACCTCGCTTCCTTGTCTGGATTCTTGCAAAGGAGGTAGAAGAACCACGCGAGCGCCACTCCGATGGTGTCTCTTCCTGCAGTAACGAGGCTTAACGTCGTGTCCCTTAGGAACCTGTCGTCAGCCGCGGAGTCGTCGTTGATGTAGGCCGTAAGGAGACTGTCATTTGAAGAGTCGGTGCGGTTGGTTTCCTGCTTCCTCTTCTGTATCCTCTCGGCGATAAAATCGTCAATGTCACACCACGCATCAGCAAGCTTCTTTTCCCTCCCCAATTTGAGACGCCGCATGAGCTTCCACCATGAAGGCGGAACTACGTGGCGGTGAAGGATTGTGGTGGTGGCCTCGTCGACTGCCTTGGCGAATGGCACGATCGTGAAATCAGGGGAGAGGGAGGCGGGGTCGATGCCAAACACAAGCTTGCAGGAGATGTCGAATGAAAATCTCAAAAACACATCTTGGAGGTCCACAATCTTGTTTTGATCGCTGAGTTGCCGGAGCAGGGGAAGAAGAAAGTTGCCAACTTTGTCGCGGCTGCAGAGTGTGACATAGGAGAGAAACCGGGGTTGTGTTATGAGGAGCTGAGCCTTCTTGCGTTGTCTTCTCCAGGACTCGTGGTCGGCGTTGAAGATGCCGTCGCCGAGGATATCGAAGTTCTCCGAGAATTCATGGCCTTTGGGGTAGTTGTGGAAGTTGACGTTGAAGATGTGGTTGATGTTGGTGGGGTCGCAGGTCATGAGCAACTTCATGCCGGAGAACCAGGGGCCGAGGAGAAGGAAGGTGCGGTTGGAGCGGGCCAGGATTTCAGTCATGAAGTCGTGGAGGCGGTGGACGTTGACGGCGAGGCCTGGTAGCATGCCTAAAATGGGCCAGTTGGTGAGTGAGCCTGGAGGGGTCCGGCGACGGTGGAGATAGAGGAGGAAGAAGAAGCAGAGGATTGCGAGGAGGAGCTCAAGGTAGGATGAGAGGATTATATCCATTGATGCGCTCTTTGGAAGAAATTCTGCCGAAGTTGGGATCGTATTTAAACGGGAATCGACTGCAAACAATTTTAATTGCGCAACCTTTGTAAATCATTTTATTTAATATAAGGATTTTAAAAAATTGGTGGTTCATTAATTTATTTTTTAGGGTTTAGTTCATTTTTTATGAATTATGAATTTGGCCAATTTTGAGTGAATTTTGTTTTTATTGCAAGCAAGCTTTTTTGTCAACACCAAATAAAATTTAAATATTATTTTTGTAAATATTTTTAAATTGGTTTTTCAATATATATGGGTTAAATTTCAACATAGTTTGCTACCTAATCATTTAGTCGTAGTGTATTACATTGCCCCAATTTAATACTTCGATCATACAAAATTGAACTAAAAAAAGTTTATTTCAGACTAAATTGAGATAAATTTTGTAAAGTCCAGATGTTAAGGCTTCGTTTGGGACAACTTTCTTACTACTTTTTAAAATAATTTTCTCGTAAACAAATTTATAATTCAAAGGAGATTTTAAAAAAGAAGCGCACATTAATAATAAATTAGGAGTGCAAATAAGATAAAGATAGAAAGGAGCTTATTCGTTAAATCAGTTGGTGGAATCCTAGTTTCATAAGAAAATCCCAAAACGTTTAGCAATTCTTCACAAATTTGGAGAAATTGCCAAAACTTTTGGCGTTTTTGATATGAGAACACCAAATCCTTTGGCGTCTTCCTCTGTGATTGGCTCGACTCATATTTTGGAGATCGTGGATGAGGGAATTGTGAAAATAATTAATTTTAAATTAATTAATATTTAGTAAATTTAACTTTATCATAATAATTAATTTAATTAATAGTATTCAATAATTATATACTAATTAATTAATAATTATATAATAATAAATTTAATTTTAAAATGATTTATTATAATCATATACTAAAAAAGTATACTAATGATAATTAATTTAATTAATAATTAATTATAGTTAGATAATAACAAAGTTATAATTATGTAATAATTAATTTAATCAAAGGTATTATATAATTTATGATAATTAATTAATTTCCCATAATATTTAATTTAATTAATAGTATCATATAATTAAATAATGAGTAATATATAGTT